CGCGCGGACGCAGGGCTATCGCATATCGACTCGCAATGCAATTGTACGCAAGCAGTCGCAATGAAGGCGTACTACGTGGTACCCATTCTCACGCGGTCCCCGTTAATCGCGGGGGTAGTGTTCGACACTCAAGTGTCGGCTAACACGCGCCTTGAGAGTTAATCTCTCGACGCTGGACAACCGCCATGCGCAGTTGAAGACCACACCCTCTTCTGCACCATGTGCAGAGGGGTTGAGTAGACAGCTTTAAGCTGTCGTGGCGGTCGAACATCAAGGGGTTTCACTTTGACGGCTGCCACAGACTATAACGTCCAACTAAAACAAAAAAATTCCAAAGAGCAAAAGATAAGGAATGGACCGAAGGTTCCCTGCCTAATAAACAAAATCATAGCCCTCGGGTATCCTCCCTTTTTTGCGCGGCGTCGGCAACCTAAAACAATCTCAAACATTTGCCAATATGTGTCGGTCCCTTTGTAATCCCATAACTTTTTACACACCACGGCGGTAACGTCGCGCGCGGAATTTTAATATAAAATTGTGCAGTCGATGACCTACCTCATACCAATCCGCAATGCAGGCGTACGCATGCAGTCGCGATGATGGCGTACTATGTAGTACCCATAATCAAGCGGTCCCTCGTGAAATCGAGTACCGCTTATGACACTCGAGTGTCTGACTTGAAGTGTCGTGAGGGCCTAGCCCTTCATGACATTGCACGGCTGAAGGAATATGCATGCAGCCGTCGCGACACCTCCGGCTCTTGGCCTGAGTATCTCGGTAGGCAAATCAAATAGGCTCTGCGCGAGAGAAAACCCCTCCCCTGCAGAGCCTAGGGCTTGGGGTGTCCTGGACAAGGACCTCGAATCCCGGCCCAGGACCAAACGTTCGACTGAGAAAATCATAAAAAAGCAGGAACAAAAATAGAAGTCGGGACCTCCCCTAAGTTCCTCAGTCCCAACTTCTGAGTGAGACTTTAATATGGAGACTCTTCAACCCATACAAACAGTCATCCCAAGTATACCCATGTAGACGTATATAAGGGTTAAGTATGTGGCGATCACTTTTCACGGTCTCACTGGGGTTTCTCACAATAATACGTATATGTGTGATCGCAGGCAACCAAATCCTGAATCTGACTCACAGCACATACCTGCAGTCACATCAACGAACTAAATCAACAACCCACACATTACACGGAGTCAACCCCAACCACCTTCGACACTCATACCCCTCGCTTTAGCCATACAAGCCCCAAAACCTCCTGTCCAACCAACCTTAATTAAATACTCAGTACCTTTGTTAAATGATCATTCAATAAAAGTCCGGGTGAAAACTTTAATAAAACAACGAAGATCACCAGGGCTGAAACCTTTTAGGTTGGGTGTGGAGGGAGAGTTGAAATTGAGTCGTAGACCGACGAATCGACAACCGACCTGTTATCAGTGATAACAGAAAGTGATCCTGAAAAGGATCAAGCTGGATCTAACCCTTAAGTTGAAAAAAAACTTGTAACACACTGCAGACCAATCCCCAAGCTAAGATCATAAGTTTATGAAGAATACAACTTCATAGTTCATTCTTGCTCAAAATCTCCCTAAAAGCTAAACCTACGCCTATATTTAAGTCAATGCTTAGGCTTAGGGTAAACCAACTGCAGAATCTCTCTTATTTTTGGTGGGTCGCATGAATCGCCACCTATCAAAATATAGTCTATCTCCTTTAAACTAAGAAAATTTCGGCAGCGCTTCACGTGGAAAAAGTGCATTTCCAGAGTTTATATAAGTCTAAATATGAAAAATATAAATAATTTTTAACTCTGGAAAGCCAAATTTTGTCTAACTTCCTGAATAAGTAGAAATTTGGGCAGCATCCCCTCTAGAAAATGAGACTTTCCAGATTTATACTAAGTCAGATATACAGCAGAAAAATAATTTCTAAACTCCTGGAAAGTCAAAACTTGTCTAACTCCCTGATTTAGTAAAAATTTGGGCAGCATCCCCTTTACAAAGGGAGACTTCCCAGATTTATACTTAGTCAGGTTTGAACTCACAAAACAAACTTAAGTCCAATTTAGATAAGATTTAACTAACTCCTCAGTTTTGCAGAAATTTCGGCAGCAATCCCTCTTAGAAAAGTGCTACTCTAAAATTTATACAAGACTAAGTTCAGATTTTGAAAGTAACTTTGGCTTCCCAAAGTTCAATTTTGTCTAACTCCCTGAATTAGCAAAAATTTGGGCAGCTCTCCCTTTAGAAAAAGAGACTTCCTAGATTTTAACTAAGCCAGATATACAGAAAGGACAAGTTGAACTTTGACAAGTCAAAAGTTGAGTAACTTCTTGGATTTGTAGAAATTTCGGCAGCGCTTCCCGTAGGAAAAGCAGCTTGCCAGATTTATACAAAGCCAAGTATAAGAAAAGATCTCAGAAAATGCAGGAATTGACACTAACTCTTATGGCTCTAGCACGTGGCGGACAACTAAAGCAACTACCTATAGAACTCAAATCCAAACAAACTAGTTATCCCATCCAGTCAAATGCAAACCAAACCACAATGCAAGTACTCTCATCATCCCAAGTTCATTCCATATAAATAGCTCGTGAATCTTCAAGTTATTGATCCCTTATACCCATCTTACATAAGACATAGAGYTGGACCATTCSCCATGGAAACAATGYCCARCTTGYCTTTATGATATACACGAACAGGTTGCAYAACWATTTMTTTCTTCTTTTGGGCAGATGACTAGRCCATTCGYCATRGAAACAATSCCTAGTCGCCCTRAGCTGTTTAATATCTRAAGTTTTAGTATTTCTCTGACTTTGTTTRAAAAGAAAAGACAAATATGGGCAGGGGACTGAACCATTCACAGTAGAAACAATRTTCAGCTTGCCSCAAACTATTTCCATTTATACTYTGTATTTTTCCTTCTCTCTTCTTAATGATATGGCTTAACGCTGGACTATTCACAGTAGAAACAATGCCCARCTGCMAGTTCACATGCAAATATACATAAAAATACTTTCCTTTATACTTAGTTTAAATTATGTGCGTGGTTTTCAGGCTAARCCATTCACCATGGAAACAATGCTTAGCCTYAGACAAAAAATCCTCCTTCAGAATAAACAAGAATTTAAACCCCTTCAATCAGACAAACCCTCAGAGTTAACTAAGGTAGCCAGGCCATTCACAGTASAACAATGYCTGGTTCCTTATAAAATAATCAAATAAACACAGCGACCAGACCATTCACAGTAGAAACAATGCCTGGTCCTTCAGAAAACARCCAAATRAACATAGCCCTGAGTCATTTAAAGTAGAAATAATGCTCAGGCTTTGGTTGACCCGGTYAAACGCATGCAGTTTACCTTCCTCCCACCTTCCCCCAGTTYATCCTTAGTCTGCTTTCAATCAAAATAAACTGAAACTTATGCTTCACTATCATACATTCTTTCCATTCAATCTGATTAGGTCCTGAAGAGAAAACAAAAACCATAGGGACAATCGCATGCATACAACAGTCATACTGCAGGGAGATAGACAAACATGGGTATTTAGTGGGTTATATAAGTGGAAGACAAATATACGTGACCGTTCCTTGCCTCCAGAACTCCTCCTGAGTTCCGGCAGAGCTCCCGCAATCGATCTTCGACGAGGACCTACGGGTTGCAATCCCGCCTGCCGCCTTCCCCTCGGATCAGGATCAGACTTAGAGAAAGAAGGGCAGAAGTAGAAGGGGTTGAGACTCTCAAATAGAGAAAGGGTAACTCTCAGGCTCACTGGAGAGGGCCTTGTAGCCTTCAGCTCCTGAAGGCCCCGCAATGGCGGCCAAACTGTAACATCTTAGACAATACCTCCAGATCAAACAGCCGAAGCCAACTCCTGACAGCCTTCCAGCTTGTAGCAATAACCTCCTCCTTCACTACTTCTCCCTCAACCCGCAGCAATAGCAGTAGCCGATTCTACCAATAGCAGTACACAAAGACATTCCGCAGCAATAGTCCCGCTACAGCAGCAATGCACAGTGGCAGTCCGCAACAGCTTTCCTGGCCCCAGCCCTCAACAATTAGCAGCAGTAAACCACAGCGTCGCAAGCCACAGCAATATGCAGCAGCAGCCGCACCCCACAGC